AGTCAGTGCAAGATCAGCCAGAGACTGACCTACAGCAGGGAAAGAGGGAGTTGTATGGTCCACCTGTGTGGGTGTGCTATCATGTTGGCAAGTGCCAAGGCCTGTGCCACTCACACCAGGAGCCTGCATCTGGGAAGGAGAGGACAATCCTGTGATGACTTCGTCTGCAAGAAATACCCATGGAAGTGCAAACATGCTTCAGATATTCTGTGTCTAAGAGCTGCTGCATGAAACATCATTTCTCCATCTATATTTCCCTGTATGACTGTGATGCAGTGTTCCATGGTGGTTGTACTAAGCTTTTCCCAGCCTTGACCAACCTGCAGATGTTATTAATGGCTCTTGCTTGTATAAAGTAACTGCTGAGGTTATGTCCTGTAATGTGTGAGTAAAGGCTGTGGCTGCAGAGCAATGAGGATGAGAGGCTGGCTTCCTGCTGGGAAAACTGGAGGATGAATGTGTTTTTGGCTGAGCAGTGGTCTGATGTTGTGCCTGGTGCCAAGGCCTGTGCCATCTTTTCTGTGCCCCTGGTTTCCCTGTCCTGAAAGGCAAGGGTAGTCCTCTGATAATAGAGCATTTTTGCAATAGCTCTGCATTTAGAGAGATGATTCATGGATAGGGGTTGTGAATGAGGGATTTACATTGCTTAAAGAATCCCCTTCAGAGGTGTTATCAAGAGTGGGTTTAATATGATGTTGAAGACTGGTGGGAATGAAGGGGGTGGGAGGGTATTTTGGTCATGAATTTATTTGTTTGAAGTAGTTGTGAGCAACTTACTCATTGAATCCTGCCTTGTCTGATAGAGCTCTTCCTGAGAATGCTGGTTTGGGGAGGCAGACATAAACTTTGCATTAACCTTTGCAGAGTCACATATCTTCCAAAATGCCCATGTGCTGAGGAAGAATGATGGTGTCTGAGTTGATTCTGAAGACTGACACTCCAACTCAGCCATGTTTAGTTTATGTCCACTGGAACATTTTAGGTTCCTATGCATGTGTCTGTGTTATGATCCTTGTTCTCCCTAAGGAGAGTCTTTCAGTCATGTCTGTCTGGAAAGGTAGTTTTCCCATTTTTTTTCTCCAAAGGAATCCCCTGGAGAACTGTGCCTCTGAATACCAGATCCTCCTCCTGTGTACCTGCTCCATTTGACAGAGCCTGACATATTAGGTTATGATTCCTTCACTTCCCTGCGTTTGTCATTCTTTCCTTGTTCTAAAGCTGGGCCTCAGTTTGGATGATAGTCCTTGAAAACTGGCCTGCTTAAATTAACAGTTTGTACTCCTGTCTTGAAGGGGTTTAGCTGCCAAGACAAAGACTTCTGGTTCCCTAAGATATTGCTGAATTTCACCTGAATGTCACTTGCTTTTTCACTTGTGCTTGACATATGGCCAGGAGTTGGATTTGTCCATGGTGTGACTAAAGGCTGTGAATGTAGAGCAAAGAGGGTGAGAGGCTGAATTCAAACTAGGCAATTAGCTGAATTCCTGAGTTTTTGTCTGAACAATAGTTTGATTTCATGGTGTGTCAAGGCCTGTGCCATTTTTTCTGTGATCCTGATTTCCCTGTTTTCAAAGGCAATGGTAGAGCTCTGAAAACAGAGCTTTTGTCCACTCACTCTGCATGTAGAAGGATGACACATGGTTAGATGTCATTAATGAATGATTTAGATTACTTAAGGAGTCCTGTTCAGAGGTATTATCAAAAGTGGTTTAATAGGAAGCTGTTGAAGTTTGTCTTTAACGATGTTTGATGTCAAGGTTCACCGTACTACTTACTATGTGGCTGAAGCTTATAAAGGACCTTTTTGAACTAATCCTCTGACTTCCTAAAGCCCTGTTGCAGCTTGGATGCATCCAGGTCCTATCTTAGTCTTAGGTGTGGACTCTGGTGTATCTCTAATAGAATTAGCTACCTGGATTTCATTGGTATTGACTGAGATGTCCTCCTGGTGAGTTTCTCTGAGAACACTCTTAATGCTTCCTTGTGTTGCTCATCTCATTTTTTCTTTCCCCTCCCCTTACGTACATTTAATTATAAGTATATTTAGCAAGGCCTTGTTCTTCAGTGCCTCTTTTGTCATGTTATAGCTGGTGTGGAAGGCAGGAGATGTGAGTGGCACAGCTTTGCATTCCAGTTCTGCTGTGAGTCAACAGCTGTCAATGGGACTTCAGCAAAGTCACATTTTTGTGGACCAGTGTGTGTGATAGAAGAAGGGAAGATATTTCCCCAAGTGCAGAGTTCAATAACCCAGTCTCTGGTGGAGGACTGCTCCTCTTGTAGTTTGTCTCTTTATCAGTCCTGTACTATTTATGCAATTATATATCTTCTCAGAATGGTGGTGAGCAAACAAATGTGTTTCTTTCCTCTATATGATCATTATTCGCTACCTTCTCCTGTGATATTTTTGCAGAGTTGAATAGGGCTTTAGAGGGGTCAGAATGATGACATATTTGTAGGATAATTTTTAATTCCTATGTGAAACCTCCTTTCTCTATCTAGATTTTCCTCTCACTTTTAAATGGAGAGTATAATCCAAGTCAATATTCCATTTTCCCACCCTTGAGCTTCCTTCAGGCTTTGTTTCCTGCTATATTATGCTTCCCATTTTCCATTTGCAGATTGTTCTATCCCATTGGTAACTGTGAGAGTTGTTTTGCAACAAAGACTGACTTTCCTTGAGAACCACAGGAAGACAGAATGTTACATGTGAGGAAAATTAGGCAGAAGCTAAAACTGGGCCCCTCCTAAGTCGTTCTATTTAGAACAAGGCCTTTGATAAGGCATTTACACCTACAGCTTACAATTCCTGAACAGGACACAAAGTAGAAAATTTTACAAGGACAGATGTATTTCTGAAAATAAACCCCCCTACTATATGATGCAAAGCAAGACTTTGGGGCCTTGTGTGTGGATTCAGACTTCTATGACTTCCAGGTGCTCTGTGAAGTGGTTTTTTTTAAGGCAGAGTTGTGGCAAAGCACCTGTACATTCAAGGAGTCCAGTATTTCCCTCCAAGGGGCCACTTAGAGCTTTGGGGTTTGTTCAGTGATAATCAGAAATGGGTTGGAGATTTGAGTTTCTGCTCTGCAATATGGACCTTCTGGAGAACACTTGGATGCAGCCACATCCACTGCTGACTCCAAGTGGGTAACATGGATTAAACAAGATCAAAGAGCATTATTGCATAGCAGAAGTCACCTCTGATCCCTCTGTGGCAAGTTCTGCAACATAATAGAGCTTGTACAGTACTGCTGGCCAATCCCACCAGTCTGGGGATTGTCATTATCTCTTTGGGCACTACAGGACTACATACTCCTGTGTGTGATTTCCTACACTGTGCAGACCTGGATTTATCACAGTAAAGAATAATCAGCGCCATGTGGGACAGTGGGAGGTATTTGGTTTGGCTTCTTTGGTTTATTAAGTGCCTGGGAGCATTGTTGTTCTGAAGTGTCATAAAGTCACCTAGTCCAGTTAAGGGAGACCTAGTCACCCTTAGAAATCAGTGCAGTTTGCCTACCTTGTCTCTCAAGGCCTCAGTGGCTTTCCAGGTGCTCTGGGCATGACTTTTGAAAGCAGAGTTGTGTCAAAGCAACTGAAAATCCCAGAGCTGATATACCTGTTCCAATGAGGTCAGCAGGAGGTTTTGGATTTGTGTAGGACTCATCAGAAATTGCTGTACAGCTTTCAGCTGGTCATGCTGTCATTTGATGTGCTGACCAGATGATAGGACTTTTACCTGGAAGCTCCCAAACTCCAAGTGGTAAAAATGTCCAAACAATTGTTATGGCAGCCCTTGGAGTTTGGAGTGTCCACCAAGAGCACTGAGAGTTTCTGCCCATTGAAGAGTAGTGGGTGTCAGAATGTGCACAGTGCAGAGCCTGCACTGCTCTGATTTCTTTTCCTCTGCCAGGGAGTCCAGTGACTTGGGTCTGAGTGCAGGTCCACTACCCGAGAGATTCACATTTCCCCATCAGTATTAATTGTTGTTCTAAATCATTATCAGACCTGAGCATTTTGGAGCAATGTGAAGTCTTTTGCATGGGCTTCAGAGACATGTGTGGGTAGGAAGATGAAATATCAGCAAAGGGTGAAAAGATTGGCAGGTTTGGCATGACCTGAGTGAGTGGGACTGGGAAAGAGCTGTGACTGAATCTTCGAGGTTTTCCTTTCTGACTGTCTCTCTCTTACAACTTGACAATGGGTCTTCCCCATATTGGGTAGCCTTATACACAACAGAAGTGAACTTCCACAAGTGGCTATGGACAAAATTAAACTTCCTGATTGTTATTTCTTGCAACCTTATCTCAGATATGAATGACACATATAACCTATAAAGCATCTGAGCAACTTTCTTTTCAGATTTGATTTTTCTGTGCCCTGACTGTGGAGTAAGAAATCTCTTTATTGCTGTAGCATATATATTTCCTAGTTAGTTTTTGTGTCAGATAAGACCAGCAGATGTAAAAGTCCTTATTACAGAGTCATACTATTTAAAAAATTTATTGTAGCTACAAATTTTTCAGTATGGGTATGAGAGCACTGTTCTTCCTCTAATCATTATAATTCCTGCTAAGCATTAATCAAGAGCTTATGCGCTTACTGATTGGAATCAAGGAGACACCCCAGGGCCGTTGCATCCCCATCCCGGGCCAAAGTTGGTCCCCGCCGAGCGCGGGCGTGAGGCGGCTGCAGTGTTGTGTCGGCGCCTCCGGGTGCCGCTGTTGGGCCGCCGGCGAGCGTTGCTGGAGCCGCCGCCGCCGCCGCCTGTGCGTGCTGTCCCCGCAGGCTGCTGGCTCGGGCGGGCAGTGCGGGCCAGAGCGGCAGCGGCACGGGCAGCAGAGGCGAGAGGCGGCGCGGGCAGCAGAGGCGTGCGAGTGGGAGGCGGCGGCGGTCCGGGTTTGCTTTGTCGAGCGCTGCTGTGGCTGCGCCGAGCGGCTGCGAGGGAGGCGGGGCGGCGGCAGGAGCCTGGCGAGCTCGGCGAGCGAGCGCTGTGGGCGATGTCGGGCGGGCGGAGGCCGAGCGGCGGGCCGGGCGGCGGGCGAGCGGCGGTGCTGGGCGCTGTGCTGCTGTGGCTGTGCTGGCGGGCGGCGGCGGAGCGGCTCCGCTACTCCATGGCCGAGGAGCTGCCCAGAGGCTCGCTGGTGGGGCCGCTGGCCCGGGACCTGGGGCTCAGCGCCGACGAGCTGCCGGCGCGCAAGCTGCGGGTGGCGTCTGCCGGCAAAAAGCAGCTGAAATACTTCACGGTGAGCGAGGAGAACGGGAACCTGTACGTGAGCGAGAGGCTGGACCGGGAGGAGCTGTGCGGCGAGTCGTTGTCCTGCTCGGTCAGCTTCGAGGCGCTGGTGCACAACCCGCTCAACGTCTTCCGTGTCGAAGTGGCCATTGAGGACGTGAATGACAACTCCCCGGTCTTCAGGAAGGATGCCCTGGACCTCGAAATAGGTGAATGGACGATTCCAGGTGCTCGTTTTCCTCTGGAAATGGCCCGTGATGCGGACGTGGGAAGTAATTCCCTGCTTACTTATCAACTCAGCAGCAATCCGTCCTTCAGTCTGGCCGTGAAGGAGATCACGAGTGGAAAGAAGCAGCCTGAATTAGTGCTGGAGAAAGCGTTGGACCGGGAGAAGCAGAGCTCTTTTGAACTTCTGCTAAAGGCAGTGGACGGCGGGGACCCAGCGAGGTCCGGGACTGTTCAGGTTCGGGTGAACGTGACGGATTTAAACGACAACCCGCCCGTGTTCAGCAAAACCGTCTATGACGCGCGAGTGGTGGAGAATCTGCCGGCAGGTTCGCTGGTGCTGCAGGTGCGGGCCACGGATGCGGACGCGGGGTCCAATGGGCGGGTCTCTTATACCTTCGGCAATGTTCCAGATGGCGTCCCCTTGTTGTTCTCTGTCGACAGCGAGAGCGGCGAGATCAGGACCGCGGGACCCCTCGATTTCGAGGAGAAGAATAAATACAGCTTCGATCTGGAAGCGAGGGACGGGGGTGGACTCACTGGTCACTGTGAGGTGCACATTGACGTCATAGACGAGAACGACAACGCGCCCGAGATCACCATTCTATCACTGTCGAGCCCCGTGCCCGAGGACTCGCCGGTCGGCACCGTGGTGGCCCTGCTGAACGTGAACGACCCGGACTCCGGCGAGAACGGTGAGGTGTCATGCGAGCTGTCAGGAGAGGCGCCGCTGTCGATCGTGGCGTCGTCGGGCGGCTCTTACAAGGTGGTGACGGCGAGCGCGCTGGACCGCGAGCAGGCGTCCGAGCACCGCGTGACGGTGGTGGCCCGGGACCGGGGCAGCCCGGCGCTGTGGAGCAGCAGGGAGCTGGTGCTGGAGGTGTCGGACGTGAACGACAACGCGCCGGTGTTCGAGGAGGCGTCGTACAGCGCGTACGTGCGGGAGAACAACGCGGTGGGCGCGCTGGTGTTGCGCGTTGTGGCTCGGGACTTGGACGCGGGCGCGAACGGGCGCGTGAGCTACTGGCTGTCGGGCGGCAGCGCGGGCGCGGCGGGCGCGGCGCCGCTGGTGTCGGTGGAGGCGCGGAGCGGCGCGGTGTAAGCGCAGCGCTCGTTGGACTACGAGCAGTGCCGCGAGTTCTTGGTGGCCGTGCGGGCGCAGGACGGCGGGTCGCCGGCGCGCAGCTCGACGGCCACGGTGCGCGTCTTCGTGCTCGACCAGAACGACAACGCGCCGCGGGTGCTCTACCCGCCCCCGCCGGCGGCCCCGGGAGCGGCGTCGGCCCCGGGCTCGGTGGGTTCGGCTTTCGAGGTGGTGCCGCGTTCGGCGTCGTCCGGGTACCTGGTGGGCAAGGTGGTGGCGGTGGACGCGGACGCGGGGCGCAACGCGTGGCTGTCGTACGAGCTGGTGCAGGCGTCGGAGCCGGCGCTGTTCCGCGTGGGGCTGCAGAGCGGCGAGGTGCGCACGGCGCGGGCCGTGTCGGAGAGGGACGCGGCCAAGCAGCGCGTGGTGGCCGTGGTGAAGGACCACGGCGAGCCGGCGCTGTCGGCCACGGCCACGCTGCACGTGGTGCTGGCCGAGAGCTTGCAGGAGGCGCTGCCGGAGCTGAGCGAGCGGGCGGCGGGCGCCGAGGCGGCGGGCGAGCTGCAGTTCTATCTGGTGCTGGCGCTGGCGCTGCTGTCGGCGCTGTTGGTGCTGAGCGTGGCGCTGGCCGTGCTGGCGCGGCTGCGGCGGGCCGGGCCGCCCGGCGTGCTGCGCTGCCTGGGCGCGCAGCGCTTGTCGCTGGCCGGCGCCGCCTTCCCGGCCGACTTCTGCGAGGGCACCTTGCCCTACTCCTACAACCTGTGCGTGGCGGCGCCGCCCCGCTTGGCCGCCGAGGCCGCTTGGCCGCCGCCGCCGCTGCCCATCGTGCCCGCGGAGGAGCTTGTGGCCGGGGAGCCCTGCGAGAAGCCGAGCCCGAGCAGCAGCGCCCTCCCGGGAGAGCCGCCCGCTGACCCCGACGCACCACAGGTCTGTATAGTCTCACTCTCCTCTCTGAGGTTTTCCTAGCCGTGTGCATGTGGCAGTGGGCTCTTGGGGTTTGTGTCTGTTCTGGTGCAATTAGTGCCAGTCGCTGTTTCCATAAGCGCGGATTAATAACTCTGCCCCGTTTATGCATCAGGCGTTGCCAACCGGTATTTCCTGCCTCATGAGCTGTCACAGATTTCCGCTCAGTTGGGAGCTTCTTGTCATTCAACTTATGCTGCATAAAACAGTAGATGACTTGGAATTTTCTGCTTTCAGTTTTGCTTTTATTAATTTTCCTCTCAGAGTAGAAATGTAGTGACAGCGTCCCTTCGTTCATCAAATGTTCAGGTTCATGGTTTTCTGCAAACCTAGTGTTGTGTGAAGTAATATGGGTTAGTAACGGTGAAGGCAGATCCTTACTTTTCGGAGGAGATCCACTAATTCTCTGTGGTAGAGTTTGGAGTTTGATTGACTCTCAGTGATGAGATTTTTCCTTCCTGATCTTGGTTTGCCAAATAGTTGCACTGCGACCTTTTATATTATTTCTCTGTTTTAAGGAAACGTGCCTTGATGAAGGAAAAATTTCCTGCCCTCACAGCTATGCCTGCCTTCCACTTTTGTGGATGTGCCCTCCATCTTTTGTTGTAAGAAGGCTGCATAAATGGCTACAATAGTGAGATCACTTTATTGATCTCTGATTGGTCTCCGACTTTATCAGAACTTTGTTTATTTCTTCTCTTTCTGTGGTATTTATCGTCAATGGTTTCATCATGTGTGGTAGTTCCCTCTTGTTTACCAGTCCTCAGCCGGCTTTTCTACAGAGACACTGAATGAGTTTTAAGAGAGAAATCGCGTGGGTTTTTTGTTTATTGTTTGTTTGTATGTTTGTTGGTTGATTGGTTAGTCTGGTTTTGCTTTTAACCTGCGTTTCATTTTTATCTTTTTTTCCCAAAAATTTATATATTCCTTAGTTAATAGGGTCTATCGCTAAGGCTGTGATCAATAACGGAGCACTAAGTTGTATAATCACGGCCTGTTGCATAAGGCTGTAATGAAAAATTCGAAAGAAGTGGTTGGAGAAGTGAAGCAACAGAGGCTGATTCAGAGCAGTCTCGAATGTTCAGGTGGAGAGTAACAAAGCGGAGAGAGAAAGGCAGTCCCTAAAATCCCTCCTTTTGAGAAGGGAACTTCATCACTTATATTTGCAATTGCTCTGGGTCTGGGAATCTACTGTGGCTAGAGGTGTTCGAGTGTTGATACTCAGAGAGGAAAAACTAGAGAACGAATGAAACAAAAAGCTCTGCAATTGTGGGGAAGATGTTGACCTTTCCTACTATGGAATAGCAGATTGATAATACACTGCACGTCATATTAAGAGACCTTTGTATCTATAGATTATCACATGAATATTTTCCCGTGCGGTAGAAAGAACATAACGCCAGGTCTCCACTGTACCGGACCCGACATTTTCGTGGCGAATGTCCTGTCTTTTTGAGCTTCCCGTGCTCAAGGCAGGGCGGGCATGTCTCGTTGGCGCTCGGTGCGTGCAGTGCCGGGAGGAGGCTGCGGGCGCCGCTGTTGACCGAGAGGAGCGAGAGGAAGGTCGGAGCGCTGCAGCCCCGCCCGCTGCGGCCCGGCTCGATCGCTGGATCGCTGGATTCCTGGATCGGAAAGCGGTTCGTTTTCGATATTCTCCGCGGTGAGGATCCGAGCTCCAGCGAGGCGGAGGGGCGGGCGGCGGAGGCCGGGAGCGGCAAGTCGGAGCCAGAGAGAAAGCCGGATCGGGTGACGGCGGCGGGGATCTGCCGGCGGTGTTGCGGTGCCGGCGGTGCGGCGGCGGAGATGTGCGCGGCGGGGAGGCGCTGGGGCCGGCGGCAGCGAGTGCTGCTGTGGGGCGTCCTGCTGGCGGCCTGGGAGGCGGCGTGGGGGCAGCTGCGCTACTCGGTGCCCGAGGAGATGCCCAAGGGCTCGTTCGTGGGCGACGTGGCCGAGGACCTGGGGCTGCAGATGCCGACTCTGCGAGATGGCGGTGTGCGCCTCTTGGACAAAGGCAGGACGCAGTATTTTGCTGTGCACAGCAAGACGGGACATTTAGTGACGGCCGAGAGGATCGACAGAGAGCAGCTGTGCGAGAGTGTGGAGCAATGCGTGCTGCGCTGTGAGCTGATAGTGGAGGGGGAAATGAAGGTTTACGGAATCCAAGTGGAAATCACGGACATTAACGACAACACCCCCAGCTTCCGAGAGACAGAAATGGAGCTGAGAATGAGCGAGACGACAGCCCCGGCGTCGCGTTTTCCCCTCCCAGACGCTCACGACCCGGATTCGGGGCGGAATTCCCTGCAGAGCTACGAGCTGAGCGGCGACGAGCACTTCTCGCTGGCCGTGCAGACGGGCCCCGGCGGGGATCAGCGTCCCGAGCTGGTGCTGGCGAAGGCGCTGGACCGGGAGGAGGCGGCGTTCCACGAGCTGGTGCTGAGGGCGAGCGACGGCGGCGAGCCGTCCCGGACGGGCACGGCGCGGATCCGCGTGACGGTGCTGGACGCGAACGACAACGCGCCCGTGTTCAGCCAGGCGGAGTACACGGTGCGTGTGCCGGAGGACGTGCCCGTGGGCTCCACCCTCGTCACCGTGACGGCCACCGATGCCGACGAGGGTCTGAACGGGCACGTGAAATATTCGTTTAAGAAAATAAAAGAAAAAGAGTCGCAGATTTTCCAGCTAGATGCTGAGACAGGAGCGATCACACTGTTGCGAAGCCTGGACTTCGAGGAAGGCGATTACTACGAACTGGAGGTGCAGGCACATGATGGTGGAGCTCTCTTCGACACAGCTAAAGTCGTAGTCACCGTGACAGATGTGAACGACAACGCTCCTGAACTTATAGTTTCGTCGGCGCTGAGTGAGATCTCGGAGGATGCCCCGACGGGGACGGTGGTGGCCCTGCTGCACGTGCACGACCGAGACTCGGGGGCCAATGGCGAGGTGCGTTGCTCGCTCGACGGGAGCCACCCGTTCCGACTGGAGAAATCCTTTGAGGACTACTACCGCATGGTGACAGCGAGAGAGCTGGACCGGGAGCAGGAGTCGGAGTACAACGTGACGGTGCGGGCGGCCGACGGCGGTGGTCCGTCGCTGCAGAGCAGCAGGGTGCTGTGTCTGCGGGTGCTGGACGTGAACGACAACGCGCCGGTGTTCTCGCAGGAGCGCTACAGCGCTCGGCTGTCGGAGAACAACGTGGCGGGCGCGCTGGTGCTGCGGGTGCGGGCGACGGACTCGGACTGGGGGGAGAACGCGCGCGTGCGGTACCGTCTGGGGGAGGGTGGTGTGCGGGGCTGGCCGCTGTCGTCGTACGTGTCGGTGCAGGCGGAGACGGGCGCGCTGTACGCGCTGCGCTCGTTGGACTACGAGGAGGTGCGCGAGGTGGGGCTGTGGGTTTGGGCGGAGGACGGCGGCTCGCCGGCGCTGAGCAGCAACGTGTCGGTGCGGCTGGTGATCGTGGACGAGAACGACAACGCGCCGCAGGTGCTGTACCCGCCGGCGGCGGGGGCGGCTTTGTCGGGCTCGGTGTGGTCGGGCGTGGAGCTGGCGGCGCGGTCGAGCGAGGCCGGCGCGCTGGTGGCCAAGGTGGTGGCGGTGGACGCGGACGCGGGTCAGAACGCGTGGCTGTCGTACGAGCTGGCGAAGGCGACGGAGCCGGGGCTGTTCCGCGTGGGGCTGCACAGCGGCGAGGTGCGCACGGCGCGCTCGCCACTGGCCCGCGACGCGTCGCGGCAGAGCCTGGTGGTGCTGGTGAAGGACCACGGGCGGCCGGCGCTGTCGGCCACGGCCACGCTGAGCGTGGTGCTGGCCGAGAGCGTGGCCGAGCTGCTGGCCGAGCTGGGCAGCGCGGCGCGGGCGGAGGCGGAGGCGGGGGCGGGCGAGGCGGGCGGCAGCCTGACGCGCTGGCTGGTGCTGGCCGTGGCCGCCGTGTCGTGCCTCTTCGTCGCCTTCCTGCTGCTGCTGCTGGCGCTGCGCCTGCGGCGCTGGCGGCGCTCGCAGCAGCAGCTGCTGGCGGCGGGCAGCGGCGCCTTGCGCGGCGTGCCGGCCACGCACTTCGTGGGCATCGACGGCGTGCGCGCCTTCCTGCACTCCTACTCGCACGACGTGTCTCTCACGGCCGACTCGCGCAAGAGCCACCTCCGCTTCTCGGCCGACAGCTGCTGCGACACCCTGCCGGCCCGGCCGCCGCCCGACGAGCCCGCGCCGCTGCTCGGAGACGAGGAACCTGCCGGTGCCCGCCCCGCCGACTCCGCCCCTCTCCCGGTGAGTTTCTCGTACTAGACCGTGTTCATGACGGTTTCTTCCGCTTCTTTTGAACTTTATCCCCCGTGATTTGTCTTTTCTGTAGCGGGCTTTGCTGACAAGGAAGGCAAAACTTCATTCAACGACGTGCTGGTCGGGGGTGCTTCTTGCGTTGCAGTGGTGGACGTGGGGTCGTGTCTTAGCCTTTCAGTTTGTAGGGGAGGCAGGAGAAGGGAAACTGCTCTTGGCTAGAGGATTGTGGTTTTTGACATTGTTACTGTATCACATAGTCACCAGTGACCCAGAATCTCCTGAAGGTCAGTTCCTCTTTTACATTTAGAGTGTTGATATTTCTTCACTGAGATGTAGCTGGCAAACAAATATTTCTTCCCCCATAGTACAGAGCTGTAAAAATACCTATGTGAAGCCCATGGGTTTTCCTGGTGCATGTTGACGAGAAATGGTCTGAATAACTGGCCATTTGATTCAAAGTGCCTGCAAAATATAATGGTCAAAAAACAACATGCAAGTTTAGAGTGGTAGGAGGATCCTGGTACCTGTGGGTGAGGGACTGTCAAAGGAAACAAGATTTCGGTACCTCTCTGTACTATAATATAATGTGGTTTTCTCCTTCCCAAGTAAATGAGGCCTAACAGACATTACTCCAGCTGTGTTGAGAGCTGTGGGATGTTCCTGCTCCCTGTTTACAAGTTAATGCTTTGTATTTAACTAATTGCTTAATACATACTAATGATAAATGCCAAAGTAGGAGCTTTGAGAGAAGGAAGCTGATTCCATACCTGATTAATAGTTGAATTTTGTATCTTCTCTAAGTGCCATAACTTAGAAGAGCATGATGTGGTCACTTCATGTCTGCAGATGTTATTTTCTTGTCTTCTTCTTTGTACTGATGTCAAGCTGGGCCTCAGATATTCGCTAATATCTGATCACATTGTTATATCTCCTTGACTGTCCCATACATGCTTTTCATTGCTACATCTCTAAAGGAAAAGACTTTCATAGATATGTTTCCTTAAAATGTTAATGGGAGAAATTGTCTTAGTTCTCACACACACATGGTGGAAAGTCAAATATCAGCCATGGGCAGGAGAAGTTTTGTCTGTGCAATTTTTTTTTTCAGAACAGTATATCTGCAAATAATGAAGATAAGTGAGAACCATGCCAGCTGTAATGAGTTTAAGGAGATTCCTGTAGGTGCTGTGTGTGAGGAGATACTGATGGAGCGGAAGCTTGTGGGTTTTCAATTCCCAGGGTCCATTGCTGGACTACATAAAATGAATAGGCTCAGATTCCAAACAGTGACAAGTTGTGAGTTCATCAGTTTCCTTTCCTACTGCTCTTGCTACTCCCTGTAAAGAGTAATTAAACTGTGGCCTTGTTTGTCTTGATGAGGTAAAGGTGGGCCTGTGTGTGTTCAAAACTTTATCTGAAAATGTCCATAGAATCACTGATCTTGTTTTTCACCTACTCATGGTGAGAAGTCAGTGCAAGATCAAGGAGAGAGAGACTGACCCCAAAGCCACCCTGGGGATTCTTTCATGTCATGCCTAGTGCCAAGGCCTTGTGTCACTGACATGAAGTGCCCCTTTCCTGTGTCCAGAAAGGGGGTGACAATCCTCTGATGAATTTGGCTGCAAGCAATAACCATGGAAGGGCAACCATGCTTCAGGGGTTCTGTGTGTTAAACTGCTGTGTGAAATGTGACTTTTTCTAGCTCTAGACCCTTGTAAGGTTGTGGTGTAGAGTTTCATTGTGGTTGGACTAATCTTTCTGCAGTCTTGACCAACCTTTCAGATGTTATTAAGTGGCTCTTGCTTATAGGAAGTCACTAGTGATGTTTTGTTGGTATTAAAATTGGTGGGAACATATGGATGGGAGGGTTTGTTTGTCAGGAGTTTCTGAGTCTGGGGCTTGTTATTTGAAGTATGTGCCAGGAAGCCACTTATTTTAAAAGCCGCTGCAATGGACAAGGCACGGTTCACGTGAGTGGTGTAAGTTCTGGGATAAGAACACTCCATCTTTGCATTAAAGGTGGCAGATTCTTCCAAAAGGTCCGTGTGCTGGGGAAGAATGATGGTGTGTTTGAGTCGATTCTGGTGACTCAGTCTTTAACTGAGCTGCATCTTGGTTATGCCCCTTAGAACATTTCAGGTTTCTTGAAATGAGTGTGATGAGCAGAGAATGGCTTATGCATGGATCTGTGTTGTGATCCTTGTTCTCCAGAAGGAGAAAAAGGGAAAATTTTCTTCCAATGATGTCTGTCAATAAAGGGCAGCTTGCCTTGTTGCATGATGTTTGGACATGCTGAAACATTCTGTCTGCACAGACACAGGGCAGGTGGAAGCGTTTGCTGTGGTGTATTTCGGAATGTCTAAAAGGTTGGTAGAGTGTTCCATTT